CTTTGAACTAGTCCAAATTGTATTTATTCAGCTTTTGTGTGAAACTTGAATTGTAACAGTCGAAAAATCAGCATAAATATTAAAGCCTATATGATAAGTACGTAGCGTGTGTTGTGTAGTGAATGGCCAACAACCAAGAGCTGTCTTTAGCTGTTAGGTTTGTAATTTGTAAAACATCTCCCTAGTGGGCATACCCGCTTATCACTCCTGGACTCTGAAAAGAAAAGCAGAACAATGTCTTGCATGTGTCAGTCATGTCCTGTATGTATTTATACAACTCATTGCACTATACATTAATACCAATATCAAGTTGTCTTAATTTGTGCATTATTAAATGAGGCCATTTTATTTTCACTCAACACAAATTAACATAAACTCCCTTTTCTTTTAAACTAAATGTGAAGTCAAGATAGCTATTTTATTTTAGTAAATGCAGAAGCCTTCTAATTTGGGAAATAATAGCAATTGTTAGAATTTTATATATTTTTTAAATGGCATTTTTTTCATTCCTTTTTTTATTTTTGTTTTTTAATGTTTTTTGGAAGCAGATACTGATTGTAAATAGCTTCGAGGTTAAGGGTGCAAGCCTGTGTCCACTTCTTCTCATTACTGGGCCCCCATGGACAGGCCCTCGTAGCGCTGCTCCAGTCTCTGTGAGTTCATATGAGCATCGATCCTGCTGTGTTTGCAAGACACTGTTTCTTTGGAGTCATCCATCCCTCTGACTCTTACAGTCTTTCTACCTCCTCTTCTACATAGATGCCCAAGCCCTGAGGGTTTGATACAGACATCCCATTTGGTACTGAATGCTCCAAAATCTCTCATGCTCTGCATATGGTCCAGTCTCTCTTAGTTCCTATTTACTATAAGAATAAGCTTCTCTGATGATGGCTTGGTGAGACACTGATCTGTGGGTATGACACAATGTCATTAAGAATCAAGAAAATTATTATCTTACTATAATTTATAGTATGAATTACAGGAATTGTGATGGGTTAAAATTCCCCATTGAAAATTTGAAAGTCTTAAAAAGTTTCACACAGTTTCTCATGATTTAACAAAGTATTAAAAATGTTTATTGAAATTTGTAAATCTCAATGTTATGACCAATAGAAACTGTGTTTTACGTTATTGGCTATGCATCGTGCTCACTATGTACTAGTATTAGGTTGGATTATGGATATAAATGAAGTACAATTTCATGGGAGTATGGGTACATGAAGAAGTTAACAGTAAGTGTGTTGGAAGCTGTGTGTTAGGAGGGCAAAGAGTGTTAGGAAAACACAGAGAATGAAATGTAACAAGCCCGTGAGGAGTGGTTGTAGTAAGGAAGCAAGGATGCAGAAAAGGAATCTGATGAGGAGGAGCTTAAGCTGAACTTTTGTGGACAAAGGAAGAGATTTAGGACAAAAAAGAAAGCTCTCCAGTGCAGCAAGAAGGTTGGAGAAAATGGTATTTTCTGGATGAAAATGATTGTCAGTGGTGTTAGACATATAATATAGGATAAACATACTATACGCCTAATGAAGCTAAACAACAAGGAAGACCCTAGGGAAGATGCTCAGTCCTCTTTCAAAAGGGCAGATGCAATAGACATTGGAAGCAGAAGGCAAGGGAACAGGATAGGATGCTACCACAGACAGCATCAGAAAAGACTCTAGTGATAGAGGTATCGAAGCAGAGGCTGAAACTCATGGCCAAACTTTGGGCATGGTGCAGGGAATCTTATAAAAGAAGGGGGAGACAGAAAGACCTGGAGGGGACAGGAGCTCCAAAAGGAGACCAACAGAGAGAGAGAGAGAGGAAAAAAAAAAAACAACTGGGCCCATAGGGCCTGTAGAAACGATACCCTAACCAAGGACCATGCATGGAAATAACCTAAAACCCATGCTCAGATGTAGCCCATGGTAGCTCAGTTTCCAAGTGGGGTCCCTAGATAGGTGATCAGGGTCTGTCTTTGGCATGAACTCTGATCACCTGCCCCTGAAGGGAGAGCAGCCTTGCCAGGCCACAGAGGAAGACATTGCTGCCAGTCCTGATGAGGCGTGATAGACAGGGAGGAGGTCTTCCCCTATCAGTGGACTAGGGGAGGGATATAGGAGAAAAGGGAGGGGAGGGTGGGAGGAGATGAGGGAGGGGGGGGCCACAGCTGAGATACAAAGTGAATAAATTGTAGTAAATAATAATAATTTAAAAATTAATAAAATAAAAAAATTATTTAAGAACATGACCATCACCGAGATCTGAGATTATGTGCACACCGACCCTGATCCTTTCTATAAGGAAGGGAGAATTTTAAAAGCAAGAATCATGGCAAATTAGTTAAGAAAATTTTGTTTCCATATTTGTATTTTAGAAAAATTCCCGTATCTGCAAAATTGGAGAAAAATTTGAAGAGATCCAGGTTTGAAGAAAGAAAGACAATTAGAAGGCAGCTTTAATAAATGGCATTGTGAATTAAGGATTACAAGAGTAGAAAAGAGAATTGTAGAATTTCATGTTTCATTTAAAAGAGAATTCTTAGGTACATATCAGTGCAAGGGAAACATTAGCTTTAATGACAAAAACTGCTGTTCTCTGCCCTGATGAAGGGCAGAGAAAAACAAGAACCTTTGAAGGTGCTCACATAGCATATATTCCCCCCCCATTCTCTTTTATTGAAATAGATTCTTCTCTCACTTAATGTATCCTGATCACAGTTTTCCTCCCTCTATTTATCCTAGTTGTCCCCCCACCCATGGATACACTCTTTTTCTGTCTCTTACTACAGAAGAACAGACTTCTAAAAGATAATAACTAAACATAACAACATAAAATATAAGATAAAACAAAACAAAACAAATCTCATCAAGGCTGGACAAGGCAACCCAACAGCAGGAAAAGAGCTCCAAGAGCAGACACACAAAACCTGAGACCTACTAGTTCACACACTCAGGAGTCCTAGAGAAAAAAAAAATACCAAACTAAGCTTAAAGCTGTAATATATATGCAGAGGACCCGGTACATGCCCAAGTCAACCTCATGTGAGTTCATGTGAGCCTTGTTCAGTTGATTCAGAGGGCCTTGTTCTGGTTTCTGCCATCCCCTCTGGCTCTTACCTTCTTTCCACCTCCTCTTCAACAGCATTCCCTGAGCTCTAAGGAAGAGATTTGATGAAGATACTCCATTTAGAGCAGTGTTCCAAGACACACACTCTCTCTGTGTCTGGCTGTGGGTGTCTGCATCTATTCCCATCTGCTGCAGGAGGAAGCCTCTCTGATAATGACTGAATAAGACACTGATCTATGAGTATAGAAAAATATCATTAGGAGTCACTTTATTGATACCTTTTTTAGACCAGTAGTGTTGGTTTTATCCTAGGTCTCTGGGCTTTGTAGTCTGGTTCTTGCTCACCCAAGGGGTGTTGGATATAGACTCCATTTCATGGAGTGGACCCTAAGTCAAGCATGATACTGGATGGCTACTCCCACAAGTTCTTGCCACCATTGCCCTAGCATATAATGCAGGCAGGACTGATTAGAGGAAGAAGATCCTGTGGCTGAGCTGCAGTTTATGTTCCTTTTTTGTAGCCTGCAGAGTGCCTTTCCACACCAAAGACAGAACATAGGGGTCAAGGCCTCATGTAGGCACCAGCTCAACACCTCCATGTTCAGTGAGTTGTGTGGGTGTTTAGAAATAGCTGTTGCTTATTAGAAATTCAGATGTTAAAAATCTTGAATTTGAAACTAGCTTAGTGTGAGCCCCTGTGTATCATGTAGAACATAGTAAGGGCCTGTGGTCTAAGTTAAAGTAAGAAGAAAAGCATAACCACAAAAACTATCATATTTAACATGCTAGGAATATGGAGATTAGAAAAGGGGTTTGAGGGGTAAGAGGGAATGCAAAGAGTAGAACTGAAATGCCACAGAACATAAAGCACCCAACTAGCTGATACCAAGAGGATATGATACCTGCCCAACAGTGAGGCTTGGCCTCATGTAGGAGTGGAGTTAGAGGCTAGCAAGACCTGGAAATGTTAGGTTAGCATTTGAATTTTTAAAAATATGATCATGTGAGGTGTTTGAGACTGTACATTTTGTATTTCTGTAGTTTTGTAGCTTCTTGTGAGCTTTTACATACTACAACATAAGAATTTTAAAAACATCGTGTAATGTAAGATGCCATCAACTGAAAATGAAAAAATCAGATAAGCTTAATCAGAACAGACAGAGAGGAAAAGGGCAACACGGAGTGGTCAGCAGTGTCATTCTGCAGATAGGTCAAAAAGAGACGAGGGCTGACAGGCGCCTTTTAGCCTGGTATTTACATTTGGTCACAAGTGACCTTATTAAAAGCCATTTCACTGAAAGGCTAAGGTCAGAAGCTTGACCAGACTTTTGGGGAAGTGGAAACTAAGTACATGAAGGGCTGGCAGAGTCCTTAACGAAGTAGAAAGAGTGTGACAGGGAGAGCCACCAAATGGAGATGAGTAGTGTCTCAGCTCAAAACCCTCTTGGTGGGAAGGAAGGAATCCATAGAAGCTCTTTTTGGATATGAAGGATAATCACTAGTCCCCCTGGGCCGTGAAGTGACCTGAGGTTGACTTGTCAGCCACCTCCCCAGTCGTAGCTGATCTCAGCCTTCCTAACACTGGCACATACTTGAAGTTCTAAATGAAGGAAGAATTTGCTTAACACAGTTTTTTGTTTTTGTTTTTGTTTTTGTTTTTTTTTTTTTTTTTTTACAGAGTACTGACTTATTTGTGAGTTGGAGAGTGCATCCTATAGAGGGTAAATGCACAGAAACAAGTTAAGGTTCTCCTTAAAGAAACAGACATTTAATTTGGAAGGGAAATCCAACTATTGGTTTAAAAAATAATATTACATAGAAAATTACAAAACTCAACAGATTTCAAAGGCTGTACGTTAATGATGTATCTTTAAATACATTTGTATTAAAGAGAGCAATTGTGATACAAACAAGTTGGTAAATCTCTCCTTCTCTTTCTCCTTCCCCTAAAGCCGAACAACAACTTACCCTTACACAGAAACACAGATGTACAGCCAGAACACTGGAGGAAACTACTTTGATACTCAAGGAAGTTCTGCACAGGTGACTACTGTGGTGTCCTCCCACAGTATGGTGGGCACTGGCGGCATTCAGATGGGCGTCACTGGAGGACAACTCATCAGCAGCTCGGGAGGGACCTACCTGATTGGCAACTCCATGGAGAATTCTGGTCATGCTGTGACACACACGACTCGGGCCTCCCCAGCTACAGTAAGTGTTTTGAGTGTTTACTTGCACCAGCTGCTCTGGCTTCTATTGTACTGTTTTTCTTTATGGAGAGAAACAAAGCATGTAGACTGGACTGGGGCAAACTGTGTGAAGCAGTTTTCCTAGGCCATCATTGTACAAGATGTAACAGGCAGATACAGAGACCGTTGCTGACGCGTATGCCCAGTTCAGTAAGTAGAAAAGTTTTATCAACAGCAGGACATTAGATTTAGATAAGTGAGGTTTTCTAATGCAGATGCTGACTTTGCCATGTTTGGGGCTCATGCCTGGATTGAGGCAGAGGGATTGCTGTGAATTCAAGGCCAGCCTGAACCATATGCCACCTGTACTGTATTTTATTTAATACATTGAGAAAACTGGTTTGCTTTTATAATCGAAAGCCACATGTACTTGTTTTTAATTTACCAAAATATGTGGATACATGCCTGTCATCCTAGCTCATAGGAGGCAGGGTCATGAGGATTGTGAGTTTGAGGCCAGACTGGGCCTCAAATGTCATGTGACCCGGTCAGAAAAAAGTGTATTTACCAGAGTCACAAGAGAAGCCTGTGGGAAGCACTGAGAACAGTGATCACAGGTGGGGCACTTGTGTTGGTGCTGATCACGGCTCTGAGCAAGTGACAGCATGAGGAGACTTCTTCAGAGAGCAGTTTTCAAGTATGTAAGTGTAAATACATACTTTGACACAGAAGGATGACATGTCAGTATGAAAGTGTTTGTTGAAATGCTGTCGGAAGTCTAGAAAGGGATGTACCATTTGATATCACCAAGCTATAACCTCAACCATGCATGACAGGGAGAATGGCCACCTAAGACAATCAAATCCTACTTGATGCATATGAAATAGTGCTGGTGGAGCCAGGGACATAGCCCAGTGGCATCGTGCTTAGTATGTTCAGGGTCCTGAGATCTACCCCGAGCTCTGCAGAGAGGTGGGGAGTGTAGAGGTGGGGGTTTGAAATGACTACATGCGCACTTTTCTTACTACGTTAGCATGTAGTTTGTTCTTGAAATGAAATGAGGGAGTGGTGAATGGGGGAGAAAAGGATAGCAGGCTTATATTTTTCACTTTTGGGTTTTCTCCAGGATGTTCTATGCACTTTACACTTCTCTGTGTGTTTGTAATAATGATGCTGTCATCATTATTAGTACCCTTTTCTTAATCAAATTTTAAAATCTCTGTTTTTAATTCAGTGTTTTTTAAACATCAGAACAGATATTTTGAGCGGAAAGGTTTTTATTCTTTTCTTTTTGCATTTTTTTCCTGCACATTTTCTAATTGCTTTTTATATGTATTGTCTCTTGTGTTTGATAATTTTATATTTCTAAATTTTTCAGTTATGCGAATGTTTATATAGATTAAAAATATAGAAAATTACCACTAATCAGCCACATCCTCTCTGTTACTCTATCTACAGAACAATGCTATACTAAATAATTTCTTGATTTCCTTCTAACTTTAGAATTATAACAGTTACAAAAGAATTATGAAATTTAGACAAAAAGTAAGTTTATATGTATCACAAAAGGAAAATGGTCCCAGTAGTTTATAACTTGCCCATTGAGATATATATTAAGTGCAATTTCCGGTGGTAAGGAAAGAATCTGTTATTTCTCAAGGCCTCATATACTGTCTCACTTTTGTTTCACCCACTCTATCATACTGTCGTGCCATCCTCTGACCCCATCCTTTACTTTTTATCTCTTGTATCCATTCGCATTTGCCTTCATACCAGTTTTAACTCTCTAAATATCCCCAGTAACATGTCTGGGTGGCAGATTAATGTAGCTCATTCTTGTTTGTAGAGTCTAGAACCCAAGTTAATGTTTACTAAAGTCTTTAGGATGTGTAAGCACTGATTTATGGTTAAAAAGATTAACTAAGAGAGCTCTTTACTAACAAACATTGTATTGGATAAAGAAGAAAACTAGGTTTGCCTTTCAACTTTTATATCAAATTATTGTTTTATCAAAGAAAATTATAAGAAATTTGGATCCAATATAGGCAAAAATCTGTGTTTCTGATTTGTTACTCATTTATAAATATGGTTTGCTTTCAAAGATGCCCATATTTGTTGGAACGTTTGTAAGCTCTTAATCTTCAAACTAGAACAAATAGTTTTCAAATGTGAAAAAAATAAGTTTTTTTTTTTTTTAATTTGAAGGGAGTTTAACTTGACTGTATAGCATATTAAAACTACATTCTAAGCCATGCAATAATGTAATTATTCTGTTACAAAGATAATTCAATGAAATAAATGATAGAACCTTAAAAAAAATCCCCAAAAACATGGTTAATATTTATGTAATTTGTAAGTTCTGTTGCCAAATTAAATATTATATTTCAGGTAAATTTAATATATAGTTATAGATATTAAAAGGATAAATTTTACAGGTTTTAAAACAGTGGATGCCTATGCAAGATGGCATTCCTCCTAGAGTTTCCACTTTGGAATAATTTATTATATCAGTTTGTCAAGTAAACTCATAAATGAGTTATAGCAACTAGGAATTATTATATATATATTTACACACATACACATATATACACTTAAAATATCCATTTCTGGGGAGTTGTAAGTCTGATGTATTTGGGCTTGGATTGTTTTCTTTATACATTAATATTTCCTTTTTTAACAAAAATCGTATAAAAGTTGATTATGAAGAGAAATTTTATCTATGAACTTTTATTGAAGTCATACGATAGTTATGAGTATCTAAACCTATCTATAAGCACTGCCAGTGTTTAAAATATTCCTTAAATTTATTACCAAGCTATGTATTTGATTTACATCTACCTCAATAATGCTGACCATCCCTATTATTTTCCTCTTGCCAAATGCTGAAAACCAATACATTTCTTCTTTCTTTCTTTCTTTCTTTCTTTCTTTCTTTCTTTCTTTCTTTCTTTCTTTCTTTCTTTCTTTCCTTCCTTCCTTCCTTCCTTCCTTCCTTCCTTCCTTCCTTCCTTCCTTCCTTCCTTCCTTCCTTCCTTTTTTGTTTTTAGTTTTTCAAGACAGGGTTTCTCTGTGTAGCTCCGACTGTCCTGGACTCACTTTGTAGACCAGGCTGGCCTTGAACTCACAGATATTTGACTGCCTCTGCCTCCCTGAGTACCGGGATTACAAGTGTGTACCTGGCTATTTCTTCATTGTTTTGATACTTAGAAATCAGCATGCTTTTAGTGGGTGCTAAGTCACTGAGGGACTTTCTTGCTGCCATGTGTTTTTGTTTGTTTGTTTTTTGTTTTTCCCAGTCACCATAGAACCTTAGAAAAGCATATATATGAGCAGTGTCTGGCAACTTGTTGGTGGTCAAGATTCGTGTGTGAGCCATATGCTCTGTGACAATTAAGTTCAGCTTTTCTGGCTGGTCTTGTTGTACCTATAATGTGTAGCATGAATAATAGAACTTTCTGTAGGAATCTCTGATGTTTTATCCAAAATTCCTGACTGAAGAAAATAGAGTCACTGCTCTGTATCTACATATTTCTCTATAGATTTAATCACCTTACAGAAAATACTTAAGAAAAACATTATGGTGAACATGTACATACTTTTTGCTTGCCATTCTCCCCTAAAATAGTGTAGTATATAAAGTATTTTTGTAACATATTGATGTTGTTTTAGGTACTGTAAAAAAGATGATATAAGCGGTCTGGCATGCGAGGTAGCTCAGTGGGTAAAAATACATCCCACCAAACCTGATAACCTGCATTCAGTCCTTAGGACTCACATGGGGAAAAGGAACATGAGCTCTCAAAAGTTGTCCTTTTACCTCCACATGTTGGGACACACAGACACACACCAGAGACATACACACCTTTATTTTTTAAAGAAAGTACATAAGAGCTTTCTGATAGGTTATATACAGCTCATGCCATATTTTATATAAGGCACATCTGTACCTAGTGAACATTCATGGACAACAAGGACAACCATCGTCAACTAGACTATTGCTGCAGAGCAAGCAGAGAAGCGAGTGCAGTGCCCCACCAGTCCACTCCATTCAGTTGGTGGGAAACTAGTTAAGACGCTTGGAAAGACCAGCTGAGCACTGTGACTCATTTCCTGTCTAGCACTTTCATACCTTGGTCCTCAGAATAACTTCGTTGATGATGTTCTTATACAATCCACTTGTCTGTACAGAAAAATTTTCATTTAAAATTATTAGGAATAAGGGCGTGTCCTAAGAAAAGTTAAATGTGAAAATAACTTCTTATGGGCGTCCTAATGAAAGAAGGTTGATGATTTCACATAAAATCCACTATGGAGAAAAACCAAAGGTCATCTCCTGCAATGCTTTGCTGCCTAGCCTAAAACATGTTTATTGGAATCATCTTTGCTCTATTATAGTCATCTCTGGATTATTAGGGGAATTTCTATTTCAAGTATAATTTACTTTAGCTTTATAACTTTAAATGGGAAAGGCTTTATTAGGATGATTTAATAGTTCGTATTTGGCCTGCGATAATGGTAATGAATTTTATATTATGAATATATTATGGTACAAACTCTCAGAACTTCTATATCATGAAAACACCACTTTTTTAACTTACTGTGTCACGTGGTCAATAAGAGCCCATATCTTTATAGAATATATATGTATATTTCTCTACATAGACATATATTCTTATATAAATACATACATGAAAGAATACTAATACATACATGCTGAATACTAAGGATTTTAAGAAGTGTTAACAGTTTTGTTGAAGTTCAGCTAAGTTGTGTTATACATAAGTGTCTTAGACTTTATTCCGTTGAAATTAGTAATCTGTTGCTGCTATTTTATAGCCCTCGAGGTTTGGAAGTTGGTTATTGTCACGAGTCTGGACTTATCTCATTGCTTCCCTCTGTCTGCTACCATCTTTCCTTCATTTTATTTGAAACTGTACTTTTTCATTTTTAGGTAGCATCTTCATTTTTAGTATTGTGAATTTTGAAAACGAAATAATTTTCATTTGCAGAACAAAAACTTGT